ACAGAGTATTTACACCAAAACTCCAGCTCAGAAGAAGATGACCAGACACTCAGAAGATTCTTGAATTAAGATCTGGATTCCTGTGAGTTCCAAGCAGCAGGATTTGTAAATACTTCAAAAATGTGAACTTGTCTTTCCTGGCTATGAGCATATATTATGGGCCAGTGAATGTAGCTTTCCAGTCTCCCTGCAATAGGTCCCACTGCCCCTTTGGCTTCTGAAGCTGCCAAATTTTTAATGACTGCAGCCTAGAGAGCAGAGTAAACTGCAGAATGGTCTCCTGGTGATTTTTGGCAAATTATGCATTTAAAATGCCTTCCTGACTTGTACACAAAGCATTGCTCTTTCATTGTGTGATTCTGGATTTGGTCAAAGGCATGTCACTTGCTAACTTGGCTACTAAGAAAATTAATATTGATCTTGGCAACAAATACCATGTTTGAGAACGATGCTGCCTTTGTGCATGTGTAAGCAATCCCATCTGGTACAGTACACCTACATTTCAGACAACATTTATAGTGCACATAAGGTAACCGGTGCATCTGCAGGGTTATTAAATACAATACCTGAATGCAGGAATGCAAATGGGTATTTTATAAAAAATGGAAGGATATGCTTCAGTCTCAGAGAGAGCTAGGAACCACTTCCTTTCTTTAGTACATAACATGTCACAGAAACTTGAAGACATCCAGTTAAACCCAAAAGATGAGTTTTCCTCTTCTAACACACCTTTGAAAACTGAAGTCTGTTTGTGGAACAGGTGGGTTTCCAGTTTGACATCTAGTTTTCTTGCAAAAAGCTGAGCATCAACATTGCAGCAAAGCGAAGCTGTCTCATCCTTGGTTGGCTTGGAAAATTGCTCTGCAGGAGCCAATAGAAGAAGAATTAGTCAGTCTTCCCACCATCGCCTGCTTTTCCCAAAATACTCCTTTTTCTGCTTTCTTCCTTTCTAACAACTGAACAAAAATTGAAGTCTGGCATTAAAAACAAGTGCCTACAAATAATGTAGATTACTTCATCACCCTAAAAGAATCCAAAACCTTCAGTTTTTGAACTTTTTCTTCACCATAATCACCACTCTTTAAGGTACCTAGTGATTTTCAGAGCACACTCCACAGAGTATTCCACTGATGTCCATGACAGGTGACAAAGATAAGACAAGCCTTTGCTCAGCAGGCTCCAAATCACCGAACACAGGCCTGGAGAAGGTGAAGAATCACCATTCTGTCTATTCTTTCTCCTCTGTCTCCATATCAGCCTGCACAGATGGCTCATCTTTCCCAGCCAAATCCCCTCCAGCGCTGCCTGATGAATGCACGCAGCCAGCCCTCCAGTACACACGGAGCTGCACACAAAGCTGGGGCAGTGTCTCTGCCTCTGTCCCTGCCCCAGTGTCCCAAGCCCTGCTGTGCTGTATCCTCTCTCTTCACATCACACTGGCACTCCCTAGTGCAGGGATACAACACCCAGCAAAGAGAGTCTCCTGAAGAAATTAAGAATCCAAACACACAGTTACAAAACAAACAAGCAAACAAACAAACAAACCCATGTGATAATTCACATCTTCTTAGGGATCTGGAGAACTGATCTGCTAAGACCACCCAACAAAAGCTATAGTTTTCTCCTCCTTCTTTATTCATACATAAACCTAAATTTTTGATAACTCATCTGAAGTTTAGGCATGCTATTGTTAGAGAGAAATTCACAAAAGTAAAACACAGACTGAAGTCTTTATGAAATAATGGAGTGCTTTGCATAAGGCCATAGCAAATACAGTATACACTTCTTAAATGTTTCCAATCTATGATTACTGAACGCAGTTTATGAGGCTTCTTTGCTTAATTTACTCCTTTTTAATAATAAAACCAGCTGCAATTAATCATTGTAATGACTTTGCTTTTTTATAATTATTTTCTTTCACCGAGCATAACAAGGAACACTGTATGGCCAAAGGAGTCAGAGTTACATCCTTAATGGATATGTAAGAATAAGGTGGGGAGGAAGGAAAGAATCTCAATATATAGTTCTCTTGAACTACGTATATTTTAATTTTATAAAAAAAAATTTCTTGTTATTCCACAACAGAAGAAAACACCCCAGGCTACTGTAATTGTTATTATTTCCAGCAAAATAAATAGTTAGACGAAAGGCTATACAGCTTGAAAAACTCATTTTTAAATTCAGTTCCCTAAACATCTGTCATGGATAAGGATCATACATCAGAATACTTCAATGAAAGAAAAACAGATTAACTGAACTGATGTATTGTAGCACACAGCTACATCAGGGATTGCTTCTATTATTGGTCATGGGGACACCTATAACATACTAATTGCTTCCAAGGTAAAGGGAGAAATCATTATAGTTACAAATGAAGAATCTGCTGAGAAAATTTCAATGAAATAAGGTTGTAGGTGAGGAGTGAGCTGTTAGGCATTAACTAGATGGCAAAGCACACACAATGCCCTATCCCAATTAGCAAGAACAGGCACAAAAGAGCTTGAGAGCTGAACCACAGTGTAAACACCACATGATTCACTTTAACACAATGCTGGCAAGAGTTTCAGTGGGAAACTGGCATCTATTTCTTTACCATCTATCTCGCTAAATGCTAAATAGAAATGTAATTCAAAGGCTTCAACTGCGGCAACCAGCACACCTAAAAAGTCTGGAATTTTTTCTCCCCCTTTCTAGAGCATTAGCCTCTGCCTATTACTATAAATATCCCATTCATTACTCCCTGGGCACATTTCCCAAAATAAAAAAGATAAATATTTAGAATTGGCTAACTAACAACAAGAAACCTCCACCCCCTTATAGACAGCAGTTTAACCAAATGGAAATATTGCCATTAAAAATTTATTATCTGAATCTGTGTATTTTTTTATTCATGCACTTTCTAAAACCATATCACTAAATTTCCTTAATATCCATTACACAGAGTTATTTACAATTGTCTCCAGCGAGTACTTGTCAGGCTACAGGTCATTAAAGAATAAACTATTTATCACAAATATCCCAGTTGTGCTACTTGGGCTTTGTGATTAATTATATATAATCACATTATCCTCTCTGTTTCATCAATGCAGTAACTAAACAACTTTACACACATCATAAATTTTGAATTCTAAAACACAACTGGCATTTCCTATTACACTCCATTATCACATGGTTCCGGTCTCGAGACTTAACATTAATTTTCTTTCCAATATTCATGCTTGTAAAGCCCTGCTTCAAAAAGCCTGAATGCAAAAGGGTCCTAAGTAAGCTACAGCACAAATTTACCTCTACATTAATTCTTTGCAACATAAAAACAACTGAGATTCTATTTTTGCAGTAACTTAAACTCACGCTAAACCCCTTGTTCTATTATTAGAAACTATATTATTGCGTTTCTATCTCTTACCTATCAAAGTGTAGCAAACAGAAAATAGTTAAACAAATAGGCAAGGAGCATGGGCACGTGTTACTCAGCACACAGTGTAGAGCATCAGTCACATTCACATTGCTCCCCAAGAGTGTCCCTTCCAAAGGGATGGCTGGGCCTTCCAACAAACAAAATCCCCTTCACATCGGGCTGGTTTACCAGGGGGCTCTGCTGAAGATGTGCAAATCTCTGGCCCTCTCCTAAAACAGCTTTTATGTACCAAGATGAGTGAGCCACCTGCAAGGAGAGCCAGGAGAGGATGCCCAGCACCGCCAGCCAGAATCATTAGCACGTGCTAAGGAAAAAAGCCAGCTCAAGGTAGGGTGACAGCTACAGCCACCCCCCGAAGCTGAGCGCCTCACACACCAGACAGAGCATCGGCTACCAGCAAATTCCCGTGAGAGCTGCCGGACATTCCGGGAACTGCCAGGAAGAACAGCCTATAAAGGTGTCCGGGCATCTGGGAGCTGCCAAAGGCTCAGCAGCTGGCAGAGTTAGGCTCTTCCCAGCTGCCAAAATGTCACCTTCCCCAAAACCGCAGCATGTTACTATGGGAACGTGTGCCATAGCTTTCAAAACTGCAAAACTGGTCCCCATTTCCAGGTGGAATTGACGCATGAAAGGAGACCGACAATTCTTTGGCGTACAGGAAATGCCACCAAGTCCCAAATGAAATAATGAAGCAGCTTCTGGATGCTCCCTACCAGTACTGCAGACTTCGGTCACCACCTGACTGCCCCCAGGCTTCTTTTGCTCTCTTACCATCTCCACTATGGGTACATTTTTCTTTCACTGGGGTAATCAGCTTGACTCAGTGACAGAGTCCGTTCCAAGAAACCTTTCTAGAGTGGTTTGAGCATGCTGAATTAATTCAATGGATCAGCTCTCAGGGGAAACCTGCTGCAAGGAAAACTGTCAAAAATGCATTAGATGTATATGCTATCTTTATCAGCCTACCACCCAGTCACTACCTTACTGTTACGCTATTTAAAGTGCTGTAAATGCTCTCAGACTTTTTTCCCCCCTAATTCATAGAATTAACAAAGCCTGAAGCAGCTCAGACCTCGTGCCCTTGCCCAGCATTACTGGAACTTGCGTTCCAACTCCTAGGGCTTTATAAATACCACGTGGAAACTGCTCCTGGCCCCAAAGATTTTACACAGTGATTTCATCCAGCTGTCTTTCTTAGGCGTCAAAAAGGAAAGCAGAGACACCTCGTTTCTATGAACAGACAATCCGCTATGGCACTGCACGGAGCTCACGACAGGAATGTTTATAGCGTGCTAGACACCAGAGGGCGATACCGGAAAGAAATTAAGCACAGAAAAAAACACATCAGGCAACTGGTACTTCCAAATATCTTTTTTGCGACCTGGCGGGGACGTGACGGGAGGAAGCCTGAGGAGATGAGGCAGCCGCGGCAGGTCCGGGCCGGCATCGCGGGGTGGGACAAACGCAGGGGAGGGACAACAGGCAGGGAGGGACAGGAGAAGGGGAGAGACAGGAGGAGGGGAGGGACAACAGGCAGGGCGGGACAGGAGAAGGGGAGGGACACGGCGGGCCCCGGCCGCGCCCCGGGAAAGCGCCGCGATCGCTTCCGGAGCGCGACCTTCGCAGTCGGGCGGTGAGTGAGGGGTGCGGGGCCGAGCGGGGCCCTCCCTGCGGCGGCGGCGGCACCGCCTTCCCCGGAGCCTCGGCCCCGCTTCCATGGCAGCGGTTAGCGCTCGGACAGCGCCGTGTGTTGTGTTCAGGGATGGCGGCGCCGACGATGGAGGAGAGGAAGGCGTGCTGGGGGGCCCGGGACGAGTTCTGGCAGTGCCTGGACAGCCACGGGGATGACGCCGCCAAGTGCGAGAAGCTGCGCCGGGCCTTTGAGGCGCGCTGCCCTCAGCAGTGGGTGAGCTCCGAGCGCGCGTCCCCGGCAGCTCCAGCTGCCTGCAGGGCACAGCCTGGGCAGCCTGCAGAGAACCCTGCAGCTTCCCGCAGAGAAACCTGCACCCGTGTCAGGCCTAGCTTGGTTTGCACGCTTGTGGCTGGCTGGGAAAGGACAGCTCCTGTGCGCAGTCCTGACTGGCCCGTGAACCAAGATAACCAGCGTTAAGAGTGTAGTACAATAAGAAAGGAAAATACGGTCTCAAACTTCCAGATAAACACACTGGATTATTGCTTTAATTAAAAAAAAACCAAAACAAAAGTATTAGAAGATACTTGAAAGCTTGTAGAAGTACCCAGAAATTCTTGTTTAAAGGCCAGTACGGAAAGGAGCTGCCACAGGTGCAGTGCATTTTAAGACTGGCATCTGATACCTTGTGCATAAAAAACCTTTTTTTCATGCAGTGTAATTTCACAGTAAGGCACCTGCATGTAACCCGTTCATGTTGTGTTTTTTAGTTTCCTGAGCTCAAGCTGTAAGAATTCCTTTCTCATAGGCACTGCCCTTTAGTAACAGTGGTGTTTGAGGGTCTGAACAGATCCTGTTGCAGGTAGCAGACTGAAGCAATTTGAAAAGCTGTGTACCTTCACAGCTGCTGTACTGACTCACACTTTGAACAGTGCAGTCCTACTATTCATTGTCTCTAGAGCTGATGGTTTTATCTAGACACTGGACTTGGAGGTTACGTAGGCTGTGATACCATAGAAAAGCTTCACAAATGCCTTTGCTTCACAAATGATTTTGTTCAGAGCAGTGAAAAGAGAAAAAGCATGTAAGACCTTAATGAAATAACAGGGTGGTGAACTTAAGAAAAAACTTAAGTTCACTTTCAAAATGGTAAAGAACCCCCAAAAACTAAACATGCTGCTCTTTAGTCTTCACCAGGAGAAACTCCTAACTAGTGCATTAAAATCCTCCTTAAGTTCAGTGACCAAAGACTGTTTACACAAAGCCCCTTTCTCTTGCTAGTTTCTTCTGATGAACATAATTTCTCTTTATAAACAGGTTAAACACTTCGACAAAAGAAGAGACTTCTTAAAATACAAAAAGAAGCTTGAAACAGAAGGGTTTCATCCTCCAGAAGCTGCTGGAAAGTCTTAGGAACTCTGCTCTCAAATCAAGTGTGAGTGACTATAGAAGATGCCAGAGAAAGCAACAAAAGCTGCTTGAGTGCAAGAACTGGTAATGTAGCAGTCTCCCTGAAGTGCAGACTTCAGTGCTCTTCTTGTTGCCAGGGCTCATGTGTCTGCTAAAAAAAAAAGATCATGGACAGCTTTTTAAGTCAAAGAAATATAGTGCAGGGCTGTTCACAAATTTAAGGGTTTGAATGTATAATTAGTAAAATTGTTTCACAGGAATAAATGATTATTTAATACTGCAGTGTACATATTCTAAAATGAAATTGTTTTTCAGTAAGTGAACCAGCTTTTTCCTAAAATAAAAAAGTCCATTCCAACTTGCCTTTCTTGTCAAAAGCAGTGGGTTGTATAATAAAATTTGTATTTGTCATTTACCACATATTTCAAAGAATTTTAAAATACAGTTTAAGTCACATATTAATTTATACAACAGTGGTCATTAGAAGACCTAAAGCATCCTGTGCATATGATATGTAATTTTTCTGTTTTGAGTATGCTCATTTTTATTAGCAATAGGAATATTTACACTGGTGATAGGTTTTCAGTCAGTATCTCTGCTAGCAGTTATTTATCACATTCTTACATTATGGTCTTTTGGAGAATTGGATTGCCTTAGTCATGCAGCTTTATTTACAGGTACAGACTGTTTACAGCAGGATTAATAAGTGTGACTATAGAAGGCATTTAAACAAGGAGCAGCATTGAATGTAATTATGTAAGTGAAGTTGCCTTCCAAAAACCATATAATCTAGTATATATCTATGTGCTGGAATGATTTAATACAATGGCTAAAGGCACGACTTCAAGCACAGTCACCACAACCAAAGTAACTGCAGTAAAAATGCTGTGTTTTGAGTTTGGGTTTGTTCACAGTGCTGTGCTGACATTCAGCAGAATAAACACACTTGCCACGTGCAATATAAATAGTATTTATTTCCAATGCAACAATTTTAGGAGGTAAAGTATTAAGGCATTTAAAAGTCACTCTGACCACTACGGAGACTAGAACATGCAAAGTTAAGAATTCTCGTTCACCCTGAGTTTTTCTCTCATCTATTCAGAATTTCATGTCATAGCACCGTAGGAAGCAATCCAGCTGTACAGTAAGGCACAAGACTCTGGGCAGTTACTGTTGTTGTTTTTGCTTGATCACTTGTTGCCTTGTGTACTCCCAGATCAGCAGAGCTCCGCTCACATGGACATTGAGTGACCGAATAATTCCCTGCTGAGGAATTTCCACACAGACATCCAGATGGTGAATCAGGTTGGCTGGGATTCCTTCATGTTCATTTCTAGTAAAGAAGAAACAGTAACTTGTATCTGAGACAGGGCATGTATGTTCCGGAAAGCAAAAAGTACAAATGTCAGAACAGCATCCAAACACCTTTTGACAAATGGTGCATCTGCCTACAGGATAACTGATGACAAGTAATGAATTTTTTAAAACAGTAATACATTCCAAAGAAAAAACAGAGAGATCTGACTTAAATTTTGATGTAAAAAACCTGGTGCAAGTTTCAATTTTCAGTTCAATGGTCCAACAATAGCTGAGCACCCAGCAAAAAGATTCTCTGCTTTTTTTTTTTGTACTCCATATACAACGAAATGACCAGTGTATGAAGCTGCTGGAAAGCTCAAGTGCCCACTTTACATTCAGGTCTCAGCACGAAGGAATGTCAAAACTGAGCACAGAGGATATTGAAGTTTACTGGTAATTAAAACTATTGTTTTTAATTAAAAGAGAACGAAGTTGTCACAAGTGCTCTATTCTGAGGACAACCTATATACAAAAAAGTTGGAAAAAAGCTTTGTCCTAAGAGGATAGCCAGACCCTTCTTCCTGGTCTCACTCAGTAGCCTTGCAGTGAGGGAGGTGCCAGGATTTTTCTCACTTGTATTGCTTTGCTGCAGATTTCTTTAAGTAGCCTCCCCCTCTTTGTATCACACATCTGAGGCTTCTCCGCTTATAGAAACTGGAAACTGCTTTTCTCTGAAGTTGTCTCATGGTTTGCTTGAACTGCAAAAACTCCCTACTTCATCTTGTGCCTCATCCTTAACTTTTAAATCATCTCCCGGCCATGCATTCAGTGTGCTCCAGCCCTCCTCTCCAAGTTCAGCAGGGCAAACACAGCCTCCTCCTGGCTGAGTTCAGCACAGCCCAAACAGACAGGGCCCATATAACTACACTGAACAGATGGTATCTTTAGCACTCCCAGAAAACATAACCCATGCTGTTGCCACCTTCATCCATTATTAAAAGGTATTACAGTGTATGGATAGGTTATTAAATAGGGGAAGGGTCTTTCAGTAGGTGCCAGTACCTCGAGGTCCTTAGCACACACAAAGCCAAGGACTGCACTTTCAATAATCATTTCCACTCCAGAATCACCTGTAGCAGTGTCACCTGGTTTTCAGATGACCGAACTCTGACTAGAGAAAGGGATGGACTGGAGATCTACAAAATCCTCCCCAAAAGAGGGAGATTTACAAAACTGTGAGCTCTTACCCCAGCAGTAATAGTGATTTCTCTGGGAAGCAATATTCTGTAAGATCAAAACTTTTAGCTGTCTGCTCCACACCAATAATAGTGTAGCCTTCTGTTTTTTTCTGCTGTAAATAATCAACAAGCTGAGATGGTTTCACCTGTGCATTAAAAGCAGAAATATAAAAATACTTAAATATCACCTTTTGTAAACTTATGAAGTTATTGTAAAAAAAAATAAACCATTTACTTGGACAATTTTTAAAATAACTTTTATCCCCAAAGACTGTCCATATACATAGCTTAACATTTTAAAAGCTCTTCAGCAGTAGCACAGAAAGTTAGGCAATGCCACAAAATATCCCCACCAATACAGTGAAGAAAGATGTAACAATGACATTCACACAATCAGTTTATCACAGCAATAAGAAGTTGGAAGTATTTTCTAAATGCTTTTTTATAAGGTTGACCCAAAACATGTAAGATAAAGCATCAGAGATAACAGCAGGAGCTTCCATTAAAGAAAAAGATAATTTTTTCAACATAAAAAAATGTAAGACTCTGAACTATGCATTTGACAGACTGAGGATGCTGAGTACACTTTTTAGCTATTAAAATGTTTCCATTCACCTCAACAAGGGGGAGCCACTGCTCTGCAGAAACACTCAGATGTTGAAACTGCTTATCCTGTATATAATGAAGACTGCCAACAACTAGTGCAGATGCCCCAAATATTTCACTTGTACGACATAAACCTACAAAAACAAGAAATAACGTGATTTTTGTGTAGAAAATAAACACTAAGCGAGAACACCAAGGGAAAATGACAAAGAATGCAAGAGAAATGTCTGCTTTAGTTACCTATTTTTAGTTAGTTTCAGCTCTTCCAAGCCACACCTTGTTCCATATAAATTACAGGGAAAAAATGTTTTGTAACTTAGCAGAAAGATAAAAATTAGAAAAGCACTGTGTCTGACAACTTGCTTTTACAATACTAATTACACAAAGGGGCTAAGTGCCCAAGCCTTAGCAAGGATGGATGGTTTGACACATCCACACACAAGCTTAAGCTTTGAACCCAGCACCTGTTAAATGAAAGAGGATGACATGTAACAGCATTACAATGCACACCACACCAGCTTGTGGGCTTTTCATTACTCACTGCAATTATTGAAACTGCTAACATCAAACACAATGGCAATAAAGTGTTTGCAGGATTTATTATGTCACAGCTGACACATCATGAAGGAAGTCTTATCAGGAAACGGGACTCCGCTATCCAATGGACATGAGAATCTTGTAGGTTTACAAGATTTGGTTTAATTGTTACAGGGAAAAAACAAAAAAGCAAGTGATTTCCTTTCACTGCACACACAGTGTAAAAACTCAGCTGTAGCAAATATAGAATCAGCAAGAAACTGAGCATGATTTACATCAAAATTCCAATTAATTAATGCATGCTATGTGTAAGTACTTCTATTTTTTCCTTAAAATGTATCTGTAGAAGACCCCTTTCTCTGAAGTGGGTAGGATTTTCTGTGGCTACCAGTTTCTTTCAGCATAATGATCTACTCTTCTGAGCAGTACTTAAATAATTTTCTAATTATCGACATAAAATGAAATTAACTTCCATTATCTAAGTGTGCTCCAAGGTCTAAAATGAAAGTTTGAAAATGTGCAATCAACCTTACCTCCTAAATTGGTAGGTTTGTCAATAAGTGAGGCCACCACAATCAATCTGCTGTTTGATTTGCCAAGTTTAGCAGCACGATCCTGAAATGCCATTTCCAAGTCTAAACTAGGAGTACTGTTCTTCCAGGGTATAATCTTTTTCTGAACATCAGTCCACTCTGGCTGGCTGTCTGCTTCAGCTGAATGTGAACCTGTAACAACAAACTGGATGTTCATATGGACATGCAATTGGGAGTGACACCAGTGCTTCAATAGAGAAGATAATCCATATGGTAATACTGGAGATACCATGCATCATCTATACTGTTATTTTATGGGACATGTCCTGCTCACATAGATACAAGTTTACTTCAGCTGAAAACCAGAGCTGGGATTGACTACAGATGTACACAGCTACTCCATCCAAATAACTAAAATCAAGAGAGATTGGCTATATTTTACCCATGTCTTGCTGAGACCAGTCGCTTGGTTTCAGATCACGAAGTTCCGCTCGGGACTGGCACCACTGAAATGCTGCTGGCAAAGGAATGTCAGTGAACCTGTCAAATTTAGAGAGGGAGATCCATTCATCTTCAGCGAGTTCCGAAAGGCGGGGGAGAGTGTAAAATATCGTCTGCAATGCAACACAGTGTTATCAGCAGAGAGTCACCAAAGCAAGCAGAAACAGATCATTAATCCCTGGTAGTTTAATGGAACATGTCTATTATCAAGCCTCCTATGCTTCTAACACTTGTTTTTTCTTGGTGCTTAATACAGCTTACCTATGTGTCTCTAAATATTCATAACTTTACTTAATACTGCTATCCAAAACATCCATAAATCTAGACTTGTTCTCTCTCCAATTACACTTTTCCTGAGGACCTGCACTGATTACCATTGTGAAATTCTAGAATACCAAAGAATTAACACTATGCTACTCAGCACAAGGCTCTAGAGAAAAATCTTGTATGTGTAACACTGAAGAGTTTCCAAATACTCTTACAACTTTCTAGTAGAGGATGCAGATTGATTTAATGTCAAAAGAAAAATAGTTGAAAGCATTAAAATCTAGTGGGGTAAAATCCAGCTCAACACAACCAATACATCTAGCTAACCATGATTTATCAAGAAGGAAAAAACAGACATCCCAAGGGAAAGACTGAGTAAGTCAAAGAGTTCTAAACCCAGACTTTTTGTTTATCCCAATGCACCCTTCAAGACAAAGGTGAAGATGCACCCTGAATACATTTAAATGCTTCACAAATATTAGTCTTGCTTTGTTGGGTTTTTTCTCTCCTGTTCAGAACTTTTACTTTCCACTATTCAGCATTTTTGTGTTCACAAAAATATTTCACAGAGCATCAGTTACATGAAAAAACCATTTCTTCTGTCAAAGATGGCACTGTTTCTGCAAAAACATATACCCCATTCATATCCACGCTTATCTTGTATTTTGAGCTTAGTTCTTCGGTCCCTTCTATTCATCTGCACCCTTATTTTTGCCTTCCTTCCATTTTCAATCATGAAAATGTTTATTCAGCTGTCAGTTATTTGAGCTGCATCTAAAAAGGTGGCTGAAAAAGATGTTCTGGAAGTGATATATCTCTATCCCATTCACATCAAACAATCCAGTTAAGCTACTTCAAGTTACTTCTGGGAACAGATGCCTTAAAAATCCAAATAAACTACCTCAACTAAGTAGATGCTCTTCAGTTACTAGAGCAAACCTTTCTAGTCACAAATATAAAACATGATTAATTCCCACAGATAGGCACATTGATCACACATTCCTCCTCCTAACTGACCTGGGTTTTTAACACAGTATCAAATACAAAAACTAAGATGCAATCTTAAGACTAAAGCTCATCACAATCTGGGTGAAGTAATTCTTTTGGGTTTTAAATGAATAATAGTTGGAAATTTCATCCCACATTAGAAGATATCAAAAAAGATAAAAAATACAATTGTAGAACTAGACAAATAGTGTGGTCCTGGACTTGCCTCTAGACTATAATCCTCAACTGGATGAAATATTGCAAAGAAGAAGTGATCTTGGATTCGCTGCCAGTTCCTCTTGGCATTCCTGCAAGTGCAGAAAGTAATGGAAGATACATTAAAAAAGCAATGTGCTGGATATTTTTAAAAATTCAGTCATCAGATTGGCATAAAGCAACTTAATTTATTTACTATATATCGCACAGGAAAGAAAATACTTCAACAATTAAGGGCCCATTTTTTAAAAAACAAACAGCATTCAGAAAATAAGCTTCATTTCTGTTTCAAGGAAGGACATAATACATCTCCAAATTCTATTATCAAAAGGAGTGAGTTTGGCAAGAAGTATCCCATGGAAACTGGATACTAGCCTATGGTTCAGAAAAAAAAGAAAAAAGGAAATAAAGACTCTTCCCTTTGCTGTTTTTTTTTCTGTATCATGTCTCCCCATATCAACTTCTTTTTAAACAGAGATAAAAACCCCCAAAAAACCCCATAAAAATTATCATGTGCCATTTTAGAAAATTTAACTTGCTGCAAAATGGCTCGGAAGAACAATGTTAAGCTGTAGAGAATGTTACTAACCCTGTGCCGTGCATGTTTTCCACTTGTTGAAGGCTAGATTCAATAACTGGTGTCAGAGCATCAAATTCTTCCACATGCAGCATTCTGCACATTCCCCAGATTTTTTTAAGGGCAACTAATGCATAAAGTCGAACGCTGAAATTATGGCTGAAACACCACTGCAGAACAACTACGAGGGCTTTCTTCAAAGCTGGCTTCTAAAGAAACAAAGAAGCTTCTTTTCTGTCAAGTTTTAATGAACCATTCAGAGGTTATGAGTGGCCCAAGAAAAAGTTCCACAAAAGACACCCTTTTGGAAATCACAAAGCTTTAAAATTATATTCATTTTCTTCTTTCTATCTCATCAGGACAAAACCTACAGCCCTGCCTGTTCTTTGAAAATTTATTCATTTGCTTTAAAAATCATTATTCTGCCTACAAGGAAACCTCTATTTACTTCTGATTAAAAGAGCAGCAAGAAAAACAAACCCAGGTGCATCCACATGTTTACTTAAAACCAGAGTAGCTATTCTAGAAAATGTCACAGGTAATCAGGCTCTATGTATCCACAACACCTGCTAAGTTAGCTAATTTTCCTAAGTCAAATTATTTCACAGAGATGACAGGAGGAGTTAGTGTTTTGCATAACAAAGGATACCTTAGTAGGAAGTAGGTATTAAAGAGACATTTAAACTATTTTAGCAGTCCTATTTTCAATTCAGAACTCTGTACATGCACTGGAAGTGAATAAAGAATGAACACTCTTAGAGAAATGTACCTTCTCTGAGGTATTTTGAAGAATGATGTCAAAATGGGCCAATACTGATAAAAATGTGCAGATACTTTTTTTAAGATTTTCTTCATCCTGAAGTAAAAGAGAATGTTAACAAGAGATATACATATATAAAATGTTTTTTACACTTTATGCATTTTCATGCCATGTTCTGCACATGCAATAATATGAACACTATTAAAAATCTATGTGTCTCCACAGCCAAATTTATGAAAATACAAGGTAGATATTAATTAGGATTTCATTTTTCCTAACATGTTATTTGCTTTTTACTAGCACATCAATCAGAATAAAGCATAAAGTGGTGTAAGTGAGCTAAAATTCAACTCAAGTTCACTGTATTCCCCCAGGAATGCAGAAGGTCAGCTCCATTCCACAACCCCTTGGCCTGGGGCTCCCACTACCAGAGCTCAATCTGCAGCTCACACTGCTGTTGCACATCGAGCCACCTGCACTAAACGTATTCCTCAGCACCAGGAGAGCCTCTGAAAATACAATCTCTATTCCTTTTTCATACACGTACATGTTTTCTGCTTGCTCTGATGGTTTGAATGGGACCACTGTGATTTAGTACACTTGTTATCAGCATGAAATCACTTTGATCCAACAGATTATCATCTACTAAAATGACAGCAATTCCAACAGCCTGAGCTTTTCAAAGGAGCTCTGAAATAGTCAGCTCTCCTCAGTCAACCTCTTCACGACTTTTGGGTATCATCATTCAAACCCTGCTTCAGTTTTAAAATTTCATGACAGAACTCCACCATGAAGGAAGGCCATATTAAAAGCTGCAAACTGAATATGTATTAGCAAGTGTCATCTTCTCACTGACAAAGAGGCTGTGACAAAAAAGAGGAAGGTGGGCTGTGGAAACCACGAGTAACTCAGACCTTGAGAGTCAGGATCTAGGGCATCTATGTGATCCTGATGGCTCCTAAATTGGATTGCTCTGACTTGCTGCGCCACCTCTACTCTGGCCAGAATAAAACATCATAAAAGGAGATCTCTCAACAGGAAGAATTTACTTTTCTTTGGCCATTTTTAGGTGGCAAATTTCTAAGTATCTCAGACTATTGCTCAGACTCGCTTCCAAGCTGAACTACTCAACAGTCCACTGCTTCTAAAGGAAGACTGGAATACACAGAAAATAAGGTACGGGACAACAAACTGTACCCTCTTTGTTCAAATTACCCTTCAAGTGAATGCCAAAGATCTTACTTACATAGCAAAAGCAATCCCAGAATTTATCAAGGAATTGGGGATATTTATGTAGACTCAAGATAACAATCCATTCTATGAAGTATTTCACAGATGCCTGATTATTACTGAATCCAGCCAGAAAAACTCTGTCAAGAGTTCCACACAAAAAATTCTGAGGAAACAAAATCAGGCAATCCTTTAGTATTTTTAGAGTTACTTCCATGAAGAAAAAAATAAACAAATAAAAGAACATTCTCATCTTTATCATAATATTAGATATATATTTTAATATGCAAATTAAAACATTTTAAAACTAATTTATTTATTATACTTTTCAAATATTTTCCTATGAAGCAGCAATTTGATGAAAGTAACACGTGTCAATTTCTTGACTGTTCATAAAGTAGCAGTAGTTTTACTAAATGAAAAGCTTACAATCAGACAGTCAGTACAAACTTTAGCTTTAACAGGACCAATCTGGCCTCCTAAAATTCACCATTCTAAGAATCAGTTTCCAGTGTTCTCTAGAAATGCATGATGAATCCGTGACTTCAGACTGAAAGCTACACGAAACTTCTACAACACAGAACTTCCTCATCAGCTACAGGTTGTATGCCTTTTATATCCTGCTGTAATTTAACATATGCAGCTTGCATGACACCAAATTAGGTCTTGAAAGTAGGTAATTATTTATTTATTTAAAAATTAATAGCAAAGAGCAATCAATACCTGGTTAAGCTTTGGGAGAAGAACTAAGAGTGTCTGCCATACCCGATTTTTAATTCTATGCTGCAAAGAGTTTGCATAATAGCGTGTTCTAGATCTGGACACCTGTTCATCCTAAAAGAAAATTAAAAGGTTTATTGCCTATTCTTCCTTTAAATTTGAATACATGTAAACACTCTTTTCTGTAGTAAGAAAGCATCATCTACTACACAGCTAGGATCAGAATTGCAGATAAACTTAGGAAAATACATTTACTTAATTAAGAATCAAATTCTGTAGTTAATAATTAAATAACAAAGTAAGCAAATATCTTGTAAAACTCACTTTTTCCCTCTTGGGCAATCTCACAACACAAATAATCATTTTTCTGCAGTACTTAACTGAGAGGAACGAAGGACCCACCCCGTCCTAGCTCTTCAGACAAAAGCAGGATTTACAGTACCAGAATGTAAGGGTGATGTTCTAATAACAGCTGTAGTAATTTACCACTGACTTTAGACTCCTGCCAATGCATAAGCAGCTATGATATAACAGAAAATTGGACCCCAACATTATTTCTATCCATAAAGGTATTCTAAGGAGACAGCAGCTCTCCCAGTTTAAGAGGTAGTCTGCAATTGTTGAAGTGAAATGCAGTGCTTCAGAACACAGCCTAAAGGAAGATTCTTAATGGAACAACGGCTACAATTTGGATAATGTTCCAGGAAGCCAAAATATCCTCTAAAAAGAGAGAAAAACCCCAAAGGCAATTTTTACTATTTTGACTGAATTATTCAACTTCTGTCTCATGGCAAAGAAAAGCCGAATTACTTGGCAAATCGAGAGATGCTACACAACCAACCATAAATGCATCCTGTACCAACTGTAAATATTTTGCATTATACTAACTGTATTAAAACTACATTTATCTACCAAGAGAAATTAATTTTACCTTATCGAGTAGTTTGATGAAAATGTCTTCCATGAACATCTTATGCAAGATATTTGATCCATCCAACAAGCACAGAAATTTAACAGCACAAATGCGAACATAGTGATCATCTCGATTTGGACTGTAAAATATTAATAAAAACAAAAATCAAACTCCACCTGTTTAGACATAAAAGTAATTCCTAAATTACAAAAAAGTACCAAACATCATCTTTAACGTACAGCCATCAAGTTGTCTACAGTGAGACAAGATGCAAATACCCAGAACTGGAATTTTAAAATCTGTTCGTCATTGGTGATGAAAAAAATTAATGACTTCACAACCTGATCCTGAGTCTATGCAGAGTTCTGCAGTAACATCTAGATGTTTAATTTTTTTTTTCTATAGAAAAAGCTGTATCAGAAAGCTTCTGAAATTTTGTGCCTGTAAACTGTAACCTTTTAACAACTAATTTATGCTTAGCTTGGTCAAATACCTAGTCCCAAACAACACTTTATTCCTATTAGTCAACTACAGACATCTAGAATAATTAATGGCAAGAGTAAAATTAATGACATTATAGGTTGTGACAGCTGCAGACCATCACAAGATATGATTACCAAAAAGCTCTTGGGAGAACGTACAGGAGTAGTGAACTTTTGCAGCAGAACTTTTTAAAAGCTCAGGTTTTATAAATTACTAACATTTCTGTAAAAAGGGTGACGGAACTTTTTTCTCTGACTTTCTTCCACTGTGTAAAAATTAGGAGGAGTGAAGCTATAGAAAAATACAACAATCCAGTAGCTAACATCCCCATTTCAAAGGCTGGAGGCAAAGGGCTTGCAGCCAATGTTAAAAAGCCAAGCTCAAAATCTGACTGCATTAAAACCTGACTTTCTTACCTGTCTTACTTACAATAACAAGGTAAATACTAGCTCAGCATCCTAAAAAGTCCTACTTTATTGAGGTGAGACAATGAGCAAGTAGTTATTTCAGCCACAGTCAGATTTAATAAGTGGGATATATTTTCCTGAAAATTCATTTTTCTAAAGTTTGTATTTGAATTATGAATATAATGTGATGTACAACCCTCCTACCAGCATTTTAAAAGGTTATGAATGTATTCCTTGTGCGTCCCTTCCAACTCATGATACTCTATGATTGTATGGTAAGCAGCTGACTTCAAAATCAGCATCTTTCCTATCAGAGCATCAACCAAGACAAAGACACAATTCATAAATACTGTAGGATGCATCATCAAAAGCATTACCTTTCTGTAACAACATTTGCTGCACATTTTTCTCCAATATCTTCTATGAAGGCATGCACATCCTGAATGTGTCTTCAGAGATGAAAGAAGACAAAGCAACAAAATTAGCAGAGTAACATACAAAACCTGTTTTCAGTTTTTCAGTAGTTATCTCAAGGTTTAAAAGAAAACCACACAAAATTGTAAAATATAAATCAAAGATTTTTCTTTTATACCTTTGATCTCTCCTAAATACAGTTCCAAAGACACAAGCCTCAGTGATAAGTTCACTATAATTTCCAGCATTTAAGAAAGCATTTGTCAAGGCACTTCTCTCATCAACAGTGGGAAATATCCAAGACTGACAACAATGACTAAGGACTACATTGAAGACTCCAGTCTTTGTAGTGGACAGATCTATGAGCTTGAAAATTATCTGAAAATAAGAAATAAAAGATTCAAAATCTAGTTTTCAGAAGTGCCAGAACTATTAGAATAAAACTGCAGCGGTATCTACTTTAATAGGTATCATGGTCTTTTGCATCCTATCTCTGCTCAGGTTAATGCTGTCTTCAATCTATTTATAATTCCCTGATTATAAGAGCAGGTGAACAACTGGCCCAGTATCTGCTTCTCATAACAAAAACCAGAACTAATCTTTGCTTAAACAGATATAATGCCAGATGTTTTAAACAAATCTCCTGGTAAGTGGAACAAATGAGCCAGGGCTTACTTCATGAGCACAAACCTAGTGTTTTTATCAATCCTTACCAATTAAGAAAAAAAAAAAAATTAAACATTAAGCAAAATTTTTTACATAAGCAGCCACGTCACTAGTTCCGTTCTACATTTACATCAAAGTTCATATTTTAAAAAGTGTCTTTGTACCATTTATTTTTTGTTTTTAAGGAGGGCATATTTACAATATTTCAAGCTGCTATCTAAAGCTTCTCCAAAAAGCAGAAAAATGAAACAGAACAAGAAAAATGGCCCCAAAATATTTATTTCCCCTCCTTAGGGTAAGTGCAAGAGTAAATTTCACTTACCAAGTATATTTTTTTCCCTAAGAAATTGCAAGCATTTGGGAGAGGGCAGGGAGATGCAGAATGAACAGGTAAAGCTTTCTAAGAATTCCTTTCTAGACAGCAGTTAGAGCTGTCCATGAAAATGTTTTTTTTCAGAAGGTGTTAACAGCTCCTAATAGACAAAGCTGCTTTGCTTCCCTGCACTGAAATGATAGTTTTGATAATGTGACAATTCTTTGACAATAATGCTGGTTTTATAGAGGAAGTTGTTCTGAACTGCTAAGCATTAAAGCACCGAGAAGTTCACGAAGAATTTAAGACTGAAATACTGCAATGCAGTCTGAAGAAACACTTGCTGGAAAGAAAGCTCTATGCTAGAAGCATGTGGGGTTTTTACCAAGAATTCAAACCTATTTTCTAGTGCAAAGACAGGCTTTCTAACTTTCCTAGTAATTCCAAAATTGAGCCATTGTTTCACCTGTAGGGAAGCAGCAGAGCATTTACAACACATTTCTGAATCCTGAATTTTTCAACTGTTTCACTAAGAGTTCAGCACACACAAAAGAAATTTTAGATATTTAAGTTCTAGCATAATTAACATATGAATAATCACAAAGAAAAGAGTGTAGCAGAAGAAATTAAGCTAAAGAACACAGTGCTCTGGGTACCTTCTGTGGAAGCCCTTCTCAACATTACCATAGCTATTACCATAAGCATTCCCTTTTTTGACTCAAAAATACCCCTTTGCTCCACCCCTTCCAACTATTAAAAAGACAGAGCGCACACTGTGGTAGACAAAATTAAAACTGTGCTTCTGTGACAAATCAACATCAGGCAGTTCCATTTTTTCTTCTCTTTAGCTACAACCACAAAGCATCTGCACAGCGGGTCAATGGCAACGGGGACTGCCGAGGACTAGAATAAGAATATACATAAGTAGGCACTTGCTTGGGAACTTTATCTTCATTTTCTTATGAAGGGGCAGAAGGTGGCTCGACCAGATGCCCTTTGTTGAGTATAGGAGACCTTCATTAGCTCCTTGATGCCTGCTGTCATGGAATGTCCCACTGCAGACAATGGGATAGCTGTCACACGGACTCAACACTCAACAAGGCAAAATACACCTTATATAACGCTTGAAATACTAATGCTGAAGTTAAGACAGTAACTCTAAGAATTTAAACAAGTTTTAAGATCAAGAAAAATAAAATACGAACTTTAGCTCATTAGTTATTACGACACTGAGCATACAATTAGCTGTTATAGATATTCCTTAAAAGTAAAAGCCAACCAATTTCCACAACAGAAGAGATAATTTACCATCTTTACATACATATCTTGACTTGGGTCCACAGGGAGACTACAAATTCTAAGTGCTTAAAACAGAGACCAGTAACATTCATTTGAAGCAAGTTTTTTAAAAGAAAATAAATGGGACTACATTTCAAGGTAATTAAGGCTAATAAGGATATATCACAGCACTTTTAAACAGCTAGGAAGTGTCCATTTCTCTGTATTTTATTTAAAATAATTTTGGTGTGTCTGGGCTGAAAATAAATTTGAAACTTTTGCTATTACTTACAGCTGTGAGTGTGACACCAGGATGGGGCTACTTATGGTGACTTCAAAGCGAAACTGCAACCCCTCCTGGTGTGATTTTTGTGCTAAGCACTAAGTAGCACACATGGCAGTGAACCTAAGCAAATACACTGGCAGATAGTTCACAGTGCATTACTGCCCTAGCTAAAGTCTTGCACTCACTGTGGACTGCTCTGCACAAATATGTAATTAATGCTTAAAGGGGAAAAAAAGAAATAGAAAGAATCCCCAAGAAAGATTATGTAGAAAGAAGTAGCTAACAACTTTGCAGTGAATAAAGCCAAAAGGAACCAACATCCCAGTACTAAATACGGTTTTCTGGACCTAATAAAAAAAAGAGCACTACAATATACGTGAGAACTCTTGGAGTTCTGGCAGCTGCATAAATCTTACAAGAAGAATAAAGGTTGCATTTTTCTTCTTAACTCTGGAAGCAGGTCAATCATGCAGGATTAAACTGAACTCTATAAGGTGACTGTGTGTTTTTATTTTCTACACCTGAAGCAGAGGAAAAGAAGCCTTTAAAGAAGCAGTAAAAATGCTTTATCCAATAGCACCTACAAAATTTTGAACTGTTACAACTTTTCATCTAAGACAGCATTTTCATAAAGAGTAAACTATTAGAAGAAGGCATAATTTTCCCAGAATATTAATAGTTTGTGATAGCTCAGGTGTCAAATCCTAAACAAAACAGTCATGAGGAAAAATTTCATTTTTATGTAAAAATAAAATAAATGAAAAAAACTAATCTTACTGCATGCAGAAGATATTGAACAGTTAAAAATCAAAGACACAGTACTTGTCATTTTCTGTGCCACAAGAACAAACAACATATTTGTTTATCTTCAATCTTATTCTCAGGTCTTTTATCTTGACACTCACAAACCTGAGCTTTTTCAGAAATTAAAAGTTCACAACAGTAGCTGAAGGGAAAATAAAGTGTAAAATACAATCTTACATTCAGACAAAATTTATGTTCCCATCTCAAAAAAAAGAATTCTTGAAACTGACCTCTTTTATTTTGGTATATGCTTGACCTTTTGCACTTGCAGCAACAGCTAGAACCTCAGTATCAAAGATGAACTGAACAAAAGCTTTTAGATTGGCCCAAAATATTAGCTGTGTGTTGCTCAAAGAGGATATAATTTTCCAAGCCAAATCAAATGCTTCTATGCAGAGACCCTCTGATGAGTCCAGAAGCTGTAAATAAAGAGATGAAAAAAGTGTTACATTTAACAAAAAAAACCCCAAACAAAAAAAACCAAACCAAAACAAAAAAAAACAACCCAAAAAATTATTCATACTGTGCAGGTTTATCTTTTACCTTGGGAACAAGGACTTTCATGCAGTCAAACACAGGTAAAACTTGGTCTGAAGGAAGAATAGATAGGGCTTCTAATGCAGACTGTAGAATTTCTTTTGACCTCTCAACGGTAGACAGTGACATTACTTCATACCCTTGAGCCGATGTTGCAAATGAATTTAAAACAAAGCGGAGGCAAATCCACTGGTCACGAACATAGCGTGCAACAATTTTCCCCCATCCTTGAGAGGTCGTTTCTTCACCTAAGCTGTGAAAAAAATACTTTCCTTAAATAAATATTGTGTTAGGTTTATCCTGCACATTCCTACTCCATCAGGACGTGCTTATTTGTACAAACCCTGTCCTACTTCAAGGTGCTAAGATTTATACAGTTCAAGGCAAGAGTGGACAAACATATGGAAAAGAAATCTAAAAATTAAGTGTTTTTTTAAAAAAAAATTCAAATCAATTATGGGCCTAGTCAGTCTCATTAGTCAAACACCTGTGACATTATTCAGTAGAAACATCACTATGTGCTGGCTGTGTTTTTTTGTTACCCAAGTATTTGGGTTTTGGCACTCTGGCTTCCTCTGGGTATCCCTTCCCAACAGTAAATAATTTACATTTAAACTTGCTTCTGCACATGCCATGGCTTTCTGCAGTGTATATATATTTAATCTGGCCTAAGGGTAAGCACTGTTCATAGCTAGCTCTGGCTTCACAGAACTAGAGGACTTAACAAAAGAACCTTTGCTCTGATCAATTACGGCTGCTTTAATGTTCTAAAACCTGGATGTTAAGATGAAAGAGAAACAGAGTGCACAGTTTGTTTACAGAATTCTTCCTTTTTATCTTGGCAAGAAGTTGTTAAAGAACAGGAAAAACCAACATCTTAACCACTGCTTCACATTAATCAACTTTATTCTAAGAATTACCGAAGCTTTAGCAGACATACCTATTTTTTTCTTCAATGTAAGACGGCTTCTTTAATACTTCATTGAATTGAGAAAAGGAAATGAATTTCTTCAGAGCATCCACAGAAGGCAGAGGCTCCAGGTGCACTTCCAGTTTCCCAGCCATTATCCCACATACAGCTGCAAGTGAAGCCATGCTAGCTACTTTTCTAATTTGCTCCTTAACCTTCGGCTCCTAAGTAAAACCAAATCATACATGAACAAACACACCAACGTCTTCTCTTATGATACAAATGACATACTAACACTTTTAATAATCCTCCTCTTTGCATCACCACAGACACCATAAGGTAGAAACTCTGCATCCTTCTATTCCTGTATTTTCCTCCCCTGTGCCTAACGCAGCTTGGCTTGGGCTGGGTCAGCGCAATCACTCGCAAGTTACAAGCACTGACAGAAGCATACATCTTCCCAATTACAGTCACTTAGGCATTAAGTGCAGGCAGCTTGGTGTGATGGAACACTCCTATCTTGCCAGGCAACAGTTCATACAAATTGCTGGGGAGAAATTAGAACAAAAGATGTGATCCAGTTAATCAGAAATTCAGAATATGACACAGTAGCTCCTCCAAGCACCCAAAAGATCATAACCATGCCATGGTTATTTTGTGTGATAGACATACACATTCGGAGAGGCATGGAATTAAAAGTCTCATGAAAAAAAAAAAAGCCAGTAAGCATATGATGCCTATACAGTAAGAAAATCTTGATGTTATTTAAATATCTCCAAATTACATTTGGCTGTCTAGAGCACAGAAAAGACTTTTCTCATCTGTAATTACTCGGCATTTTCTCCTTTCTTCTGAAATTGAAGAGGTACTATATGTGTAGCTGAAGAAACCATCATGAAAATATTATTCCCCTGAACTCAAAATAAGTTGGTAAAGGCCCCAGTGAGCACTAAGTCTGAACCAGAAAATGTTTACTTTGGAACTACTGGAAAAAGTATATAATTCACATAAATGAAGGGAAAAAATAAAATGAAGTATTTTATTAAAATAAATTAAGATAAATTAAGTTCTTTGTTCTGGTAAAATGCAAACCTAGCTAATCAAATACTTAAAATCTTTTAAGGTGTTATTAACTATTCTTGAACAAAACAATAGTACCAAATAATAAGACCAAAGTTTATACTGCCCAACAAATCTTAATTTAAATCTCCTTTTTTTCATGGAAGTTATTAATGTTTCTTTACCTTTTGAAAATTTATCTCTTTCAGATATAGTGCCCTAACATACAACTGTGGGACAATCAACATAGCTATGTGAAAAAGCCATAGTAATGCTGGGTTCTGGAGTTTCTTTTTCTCTGTATGTTCCAGGTTTGAAGTCAACAAACACCAAAGACATTTTCATTTATTAATCTTGATCAGTAAGATTAGTTCATATTTGAGAAAAATGTCTTTGAGTACATAGTTCATGATTACAGTAAGAATTTTACTTTAGCTATACAGACTTCTAAATAATGCAATATAAAAAAAACAAAGTACTAAAAATCTTAGCTATAAATATTATGCATTCATATTACACTGCCAAATAAAGACATTTGTGTTAGGGAATATATATGCATATGCACATTCACACAAACTATTATTTAATTTCATGTTATATATAATCATATTATGCATTATAAATATCATAATACAAATAAATGATTGTATATTAACTTATAGTATGTCTATATAACTATTATTGCAGAATCTAAATACTATATTAGCATATACTTCTTATTGGCTTGTTTTATTTTAATATTTATTGTTGTAAATAACGTTAAATTACCTTTTCAGAATTTCTCTCCTGAAGATTACGAATAGATGCATTTACTAAGGATGAAAGGAAATTCTTGATAGGTGGCATTTTCTTCCAGTTGACTTTCAAGCACAAATTGACCATCTCTGGAATTAAAGCCAAGTACAGATCACAACGGTCCAGGTCGCCAACCTGAAAGTGAGGAAACAACAGCAGTCCGAATCAGTAAGAGGAGGAAAATTAAACTGAAAATCAGAAAGAAAACCACTTGCAACAATGATAGCAGAAGGAAAAATACAACTGTCATTGCAATTGAACAACTTTTAATTTTGGGGTTTGTTTGGTAGAGGTTATTAATGTCTACATCTTAAAAACTGACTTTCAGATGCCATTCTCCTGATTCCACTCTAACTTTTGCTTTACTTAAAAAGTCTCAGGTTTCTTTGGGATAGAAACTGAACCACCGGCCACAGCAATTAGGAAACAGGATAAGAGGCAAAAAGATGATAGCCAGGCTGAGTACTAAAAGTCTCCAAACACCTAACAACTTATGTCCACAGCTATACTAGAAGATATCATGCAGTATATGATACTCAGGATTTCTTACTATATGATTTATTTAGATTTAAGAAGAAAGAAGAAATGCAGACTACAGACAAACACTTCCTGTGAAGACACTTTTTTTTCCTTCTTACTGTGCTCATTGAAAAAAAGTTAACAGAAATGTTTCTATGCAAATTGACTTTCTAGGTGTTTGAAGATTTTAAACGAACTTTAGGAACACTGGTAAATCAAATTAACGCGCAAAACCACACCAAAGTATGCCTCATAATCATTACTTACAGTGCTCAATTCATTGGCAGTCAGCCGTCGGAGAACAAATTCAAGAATACTCTCCACAGGTGTCACAAGAGATTTCCAGATAAAGAACAGTACCTCATCTGTGTGGAGGGGAAAACCAAAGTATATATACAGAAATACAATTCCCTTAAGAATTTTATTAAATCATGCAGATTTGCTTATGTCACAAAGTTATACAGTAATAGTACTCAAATAAATGAAAGTTACTTAAAACATCTCTGTACTCCTTTGTAGTGTAAGCCATAAGGCTGAAAGAATCAAACCAGATTATATTATTTCCTGAGATTCACAATGTGTATTAGTGAACCAAAACTCACACAAGAACAGAAGACCTCCTACTCTTAACCCTCTGCACAAACAACCTATTAATGAACTTAGTCTTTAATAAAAACTAAAAGCTCCCATATCCAGCAATTCACTTTTATGTGGGAAAAATATACTTTTCCACTGCTACTATTTATAGACTTGAAAACTGGTTTGGGGGGCTTTCTGGTTCTTGGTTGTGGTTTTTTTTTTTTTTTATGTTTAGGAATAATTTATCTTTGGAAATAGTAATCTTAAAAGATTTTAGCCCAGTAGCTTCCAGGCTGTAAATGAGAATACAAGATTATGACACAAAATGTGGTATTGTCTAGAAGATAAGGCTGGGCTACCATGTATACCTCACATATATAGTGTTTCACAAAGACACAAGTTTATACACAAGGGAGAGTAGGCCACTCGGGTAAAACATATTTAACCACAAAGACACTTCAGTCTGTGTTTCAAGGGTAAGGGCTAGCTGAAAGCCAAGGAAATAACATCTCAGTATGAAAATGGAGTAAAACACTCTGCATTGCCATCAGGTTTTAAAAATACCACTCACTGGTTTCAGTATTTAGGGGACTATTACACAGAGGCTACAGTTGCTGTTTTTTCCCAGATGTGACCCTTCATGAGTAACACTTCATGTAGAAAAACTATTATGAAATGGAAGATCTTCAAAAAGTAAAAATATAAAGGGAAATCTTTCCTGAAGTTCCAAGTCCATATTGTACTTACTTTTAATATTCCCTACTAAAATGGCCCATTGGACTACATTTTTAATGATGAAATTGTTTAGAGCCAACAGTTTAATTATGTCAGATTCATCATGTGACATCATAGGTCTCAAATCACTAAAACATCTTCTGCAATTTATATACATAAAAACTTCAGATAAGCACGTTGGACATAAAACCCAATTCATTACCAGTGGCTCTGTAACACTAGGAAAAGATAATAATTACCAAAATCTTACTCTTTAAAATAATGAAATCGAACAACAGTTATAGACAGCAAGAACTGTACAAGAATGCTGATGATTTCAGCATGCATTTCAGTCATGTCTATCCCCACACTTCCCACTTATTATTTTTGTTTTACAAGGTTAAATTCCTTTATTACTCCCTACCACTTTATTGTTTTCCATTTGACAAACAGGACTTTTCACCTCCCATTGAATCAACACAGAAACATAACTTTGGTATTACACAGCCTTAATCTTCCCACCCCTCACCTCAGTCAGTTCACAGCTACAGAAAAAAAAAAAATGCATTATGTGGTTCTCCTGTGCAGAAGGAAGAAGCACAAAAACACTGCAGAAAATAATTTTAATCCAAGTAATCCTTGTTTAACATAAAACTACAATGCAATTCAGAAAGCCTCTCAAAAGACTGATGATGGGCTCTACTGGAGCATCTCTAGGGACCTTCAAAAGGATGGGGACACTGCAGTGCTCAGCCTTGCTATACCTTTGGAACTCTCTTAGCAGAGCTTAACATGCAATGTCAGGTGTCAAAATTCCCAAAGCAGGAGCAATCCATTGCAGGTACATTAGCAAACTCATAAAGAAGTAAGGCACACAAGGAAATTATTCATTACTGATACTAAAAAACTAGTACGAGCCTGCATGTATTTCATAGGGTTCTGTTTCAGGCCTGTTCTATCCTTGTGCTGTAGGCTGAATGCACAGTGGCAGCTCAGTGGACACTTCTTCCAGTTCAGTTCACTTCAAGAAACTCACTTCAACAGTCAGAGACCATGCCCCAGTGCGAACTTCAACAGCCTGCATAAATAGTGCTCAGTATTTCACACAAACAGCAAAAATTTAAGGGGGAAGTGGGGGTTGAATGCATACAGCACTTGCTAAAATGAGGGTAGGCATTTATTTTGGGGCTGCACTTAGACATGTATATGGAACCTGGATATATAAACTATATGAACTATATGAAACTATTTTTGTTACAAATAAGAACCTAGATATGGAGCCTCCCCACTCCAAAACTACTCTTCTATTCCATGTTATTAACACCCTGAAAAAAATCCTAAAATAATCACAGGGAGCAGAAACCAAACACCAAGATCCCTCCTATACCCATTCAGCATCCCAAATTCCATGAAAATAATACTGCAATTTTTAATTTGCTCTCAGGAAAAGCATTTAGGTCTATTCTGGTTACAAACTGACCAAGTTCTCTCAAAAGGAGCAGTAAGGACTCCATAGCTCTTGTTCAAACTCTCCTGAAAGGTCTACAAGTTAAATCTGTGAGGGGGTCAACACTCCCAGACAGACAGATCACCAGGTCTGTATTCCAGTGAGCACCTCCTAGCCTACCAGTCAACTGAGAAAAGAGGACACCCAGCAGGATCACTTTGTGCACTCAGGGAAGACTCTGGCTGAACTTGGGGCAACTAAGCAGGTTAGTCTGGGTTTGTGTAGTAACTTCTTTCTCTGAAGCATCTAAATGATTTATGGAATCCATTCATTTGCAAAGAATAGGCCTATAAATACCTGCAACACAGTCACACTCTTGAAATTTTAACTGATAATCTAACCCTAGTGGGTAGCAATTACTTTCTCAGAAGGCTTCCACATTCTCAATTCCCAGTCCTTAGGACACCTGTAAGATTGGACCCACAGCTCGAGATTTATAATAGACACGCCAGATTGCCAAGTTTAACATTTACCACTTCTAGGCTAGCATTAGTTTGACACTATACCCATAAAACAGTTAAGTAGCTTAGGTGTAGTTAAGACTATAATGAACAGAAGACACAGTAGACTGAAGATGTCACTAACCATCTTGCGTATTGGAACATTTTAACGAACGGGTCTGCAATAACTTCAAGAGAAGCTGAAGGCTTTTATCTGTTTTCAGTGTTGGTATGTAAGCATTACTGCCAAGTTTCATCAAGACATCCAGAAGAGGGTTCAAGAAAGCCTCTAGTTCAATCCACTCTATGTTGCTTTTTCCACTACACAAAAACAAAAATTAAAAAGAAAGTCTTCTTCTGAGTATCTGCCTTAAGTGCTGAAGTTACTTAGGGAAATAAACAGGACACGTTTCCAAGACACTTAAGCATCTTTAGAATGTTACCCAGTATGACTGCAGCAACAGCGGGACAAGGCCTAAGGAATGATCAGGCTGATCGAAAGTCTACAGAGAAAAGAGGACAGCTTCCCAACTTCATCAGGCTTCTACTGGATCCTTCAGGAGTGAGGAGATTGAAAAAGACAGAAATGTAAAATAAGGTATTTCATACTTACCTGTATTTACTCTTCATCTGCTCCACGTCAGCAGCCAACAGAATCATTGTTGAGACAAGCTTAGCTTCAAACCAGTCAGGCATAAAGCAATTTTCTCCTGATTAAAGATATTTTAAGGTTTCCACAGTAACTAAAAAATACCTTTGCATTATTTTCTAAAACTTCTGGCTTTGTAACTTGTTTTACTAAATTAATAGGACAAAAACAATTAATGCTAACAAGTATTATTACTAATTTTCAGCATTCTTTATCTATACATAAATTAAACTCTAACACTAGTGACCCTTATGCTCAAATAAATTTTACTCAATATACTATGTAGTATCATATATTATGTAGCAGTTCACAACAGACTTTTCCATTGCTTTAAAAAATGCATTAGCACATTCAAATTAATTTAATGAAGAACATAATTCCACTATGCTTCATCTGAAACACCAGCTGTGATTTTGACCAAAGAACTAACCACATAAAGAGCTAAAACTATTCTGTAAAGAGGAAATTATAAAAAAGACTAAGTTAAGTTTCTCTTTTTATTGATCTTTTATATAAATTACATCATCATACTTATAAAATGTTTATTGAATAGCAGTACATAAGTTGGGGTATTTTAGGGGTATTTTTAACTGATGTTTCTGGCTTTGGGAATTTAGAAACTAAAACACACTTTGGAAGTCCAATTCAAGCAGCTGAACATGTTTCTTTTTTTTTATTTTTCTTGGAAGAGCTGCTTAGTAGTAAAGTTTCATATAAAACCAGAAATACAAACGTCACTTTTTACAAGTGAAATGCAGATGATTGCCATGGAATTGCAGATAATATAGACCAAGGACTGAACAAACAGGTCAGGAAGGAGAGAAGATCTGCCAAAATTTTTAGCAAATTTACCCTGGATCATAAACAGGGAGAATTTGCTTACTGTATCTCTAACAATAAGACAATCAAGTGAAGTTTCCCGGTCTGCAGGAAGTTTCTGAAGCTATTTATGATCAGCAAATTCTGACCTAGCTTTTTGATCTCATATATATACAATACTTAAAAAGTGTTCCGTTTTGACTTTTGACAATATAAAACTATACAATATTCACGACAACTGCAAATGCCACACAAAATTTGAAGTATTTAAAAAAATCCAACTGCCACTCCTTTCAAAACATCTAAATGAAGACACTAACCTGACATTGTAGATAATTCAAAATGTGGCAGTGAACAAGGAAGGCCCTTTGTAATTTATCTGCAGGTTTATACAGCCTACAAAGTACCCTCCTTGGTTAGAAGATGTGGCAGCTCACCTCCTGCAAGCTGTCCAAGATCAGAAGCATGTAACAACTCAGGAAGGCGTGCAATGAGCTGACAAGCTGCCTCACTCTATGGCCTCTCCCTCTATAAAAATACTTGGTCATTTTACAAAGCTGAGCAAGGTGACAGAACGTGTGTGGGTTCATATTCCCTTGCTCTTTCCTCTGCCCCCTGCATTCCAGCATTTTCAGACACCATCAAAAGAGTGACAAAATAAATCTAATGGACAAGCATCAGGACAGCATAAAACCTGATTATTAGGACTTAATGTTCAATTAACACTGCAGGACTTGAATTTATGGAGGAAAGCTAGAACTACAGAATAAGGTTCAAACTTAAGTACTGTGAATACACAGCACTTGAACAGGTGCAATATGAAAAAAAACAAACAAAAACATTCTTCTAAAATCCAAGGGATTGCTGTAATTTTTTTTTTTTTTTAATTCTCTTTAATTCTCTTTAAAATAGTGGTTTTTATTAATACACATTTAACTTACTTTCAGCTGCAGGTGTCTTAAGGTACTCCCCAACAAGACTGCGCACATATTGACATAACGATGATGCCTCCTGACGTTCCAAATCAGAGGTTACAGACTTCCTGAAGCACCTGTCATTCACTTGCAACCAACTGCAAAGCTGAATTAAGAACAGCACGTCACTCCCTGACCACAGCTGGCAGCTGTGCACTGACATCACTCATTCAACAGCAGCACACCAGAGCACTGTCAAACACAAAATCTCACATCAGCAAACCCACATGATTTGTGGTCATCAGAACTACCTCGAGCCTTAGCAGACTATTCCCTTCTGACCACACAAAGGAAAACGTTCTTCCAAAGGGCAGCTCACAACACTCCCAAAAAATCAGTGGTACCAATGTAAGAAAAAGAACAACTCTTAAAATTAAGCAAGACTGGCAAAAATTCCCTTATCTCAAAAGTGTTTCTTCCATTCCAGTGTAATCTAGCAAGACCAGATTTTTTTTAATTTGTATGCCGAAACTGAATGGAGCAAGATGAAATGTACAGAGCACATGATAAGAAGACACTATGCAAAAAATCACTTTATCATTATATGGCTGTACAAGTAACCAAAAGTTATGGCTACATGATCAGCTGGCTCTCATATATACTATACAAAAACTTATTTAATCTTTGAATTTTTATTCACAGCATTTTACATCTTGCGAAGTCATAAAATGTGAAAATTTACAATTTACAATCTCACTCTATGTGGTATGCACATTTTTCCCTTTGAGATTATCCTGCCAGTGAGATTATTATTTCTGCCAGTGATGGGTTGGATGAACATAAAACCAGCTTCAGCTCTCACCTCTGTCCATAATAAAGTATCTCTTCTTAGGGACTCCTCTGGTCTGAGGGACAGAAGAAAGCTTGAAACTTCTGGGAAGGACACTTTCTCCTGAAGAAATTAATCAAGATACAGTAGCTGCCAACATAATATACAACATATAATAACCTGTATGACAACTCAAGAAGTTTGACTTTATCTGGCAAGTTTTAGTAAAAGAAATTTACTTTTTCTTTTTTGAGATTCAGACTAATTTCTGCCTCTTTAGGACCAACTTATCTGTACCAAGGAACAAAACTTAATTTTTCCAAGTATTAAGGTCTATCTGAAAATAAATTAATGACTGCAAGAACAGTGCTATTCAATGATGACACCTTTTAAATTAATGTAGGTAAATGATTAGGAGTCATTCCTAAGTACTATTTCTGCATTTCTAAAGAGAAATTCAGACAGATTTATAGCCATAACACACAACATGAAAGCCTACTTATTTAGAAAGCCAGCTATAAAACAAAACAGGAATACTTCGATTGCTGAATAACGACAGTCCTGCTATTTCAACACTAATGGTACTTTTTTCATTCTGGTATCACGAATACTCTTATTATTAGGAACTCCAGGAAAGTCTATTTAGTTTCTATCTGCTAAAGCCTGAGTTTATACAGTAGATATATAGTAGATATAGAATAATATCCTTTTACAGTAACTACCACATGAAAACCCCACAATAAAACATCAAGTAATAAAAGCCAATGAAAAAAAAATATTTCTTATGGAAAACCAAAGGTAACATAGCACAATTTAAACAGTCACTAAAAAATCGCAAATCCAGCAAAATCAGTATAAATACTGCATTTAGCCATTTTTTTGAATACTGTTGACCCTGTATAAGTGTCAATGTATTTCTATTACATCAGGGAAAAAGAAAAATTTAAAATAAAACAATACACAAAACCCCAAACTGACCACATCTGTCAAATGCATAGTTGTTTGAAGAAGATAGCACTGAGCAGCTCCACGCAACAAAATCTGATGTGTAATCATAGTACACTGGAGGACATCTCTGCAAAGAGGAAAAATACACTCTGTATAAATCACACACTTAAAAATACAAGCATTTTCATATATTTTATAATGATTAGCCATCTTAAATACATTAGATTGCATGTAACAGACATAACCTGTTAAGTATGGCACAAAAGCTGCCTGACCAGACCACAAACAATCCAGAACCAAGACTACTTTCAAAAACTGGTAATAAATTCAGATGAGCATAAACCTGACAAAAGAAAAAAGGGGGAGAAGAACAACAGAAACATTAAAGGAACAATCCCCTTGATCACATCAGTTCAGACTGGTAATTTATTATAAGCATTTCTATCTGTAACAAGTATACAAATGTTTGTCATCAAAATCTCACTTAAGCACAGAACTGAAAGAAACATTCAGTGAACATTCAGCAAATACATGCCCAACATTTTTTTTTTCTTTTTGTAAACTGCTTCTATCCAATATTCCTTCAACCACCAGTAAGATTTTATTTAAACACTCAAATTTGATTAAACTGGAATGACAATTGATTTTTAGTGGCTCTAGGAAGTGGAAGCAGACACTTAGGAAATACCAGTGAGATTAAGGTCCATAGTGAGGCCAAGAACTTCTACCTAGGCTTTTATTTAGAAATCTTTCCGTTTCCAGCACTGGGGGCTGTCTCCTGATATAGCCTCAACTGCTATTAAAGCAGGTTGTAATGCAAGTAGAAGAAAAGGAAGAAGTGTGAGATGCATCAGCCTGAAAATGTGCAAGACCAGGGGAAAATTATTCTAGAAAAGTAGAAACTAAAAAACTAAAATGCAAAAATTTTTTTTTAAAAAAAAAACTTCATAAAGAGATATAATTGCATTGGTTCTTGAACTGCTTTCCTCTACAAATTAGACCTAAAGGAGACAGAATCTGATATTCCCATGCACGACCATCCCTTCAGAAGTAACAAACATGAATCAAATTCTGGCTCTCCAGACTGTCAGCACATTTCTTTGGAGGAAGGCTGTAAGAATGCAAGGCAGTATATATTGGCAGTATATATTTTACCTTAAAGCATGAAGTCCTTCAGCACCAAGTACTTTACATGAAGGGATAGATGCCAAAGCCATAGAAAGGAACAAAATCGGAACAGCACACCAATGCCTACTTGTCATCTTCTGAATAAATTTTAACAGGAAGCTACCTTAAAATAAAAGTAAACAAAACAACCCTGAGTGATTTTGTGTTCTCCAATGCTTTTAAATAACAAGAGCTGCAGCAGAAGAGTGCTATTTTAATTTCTGACAATTAAATGAAAGATAACAGAATAATTTCCTAATCATTTCAATGAAAAACATTACATTCCAAAGAAGTCTGTCAGTAAGGTGATATGATTCAGGGACAAACAGAAGTAAACCTAATTTTGACTTTGGTCATCTGCACTAATCACCACATTCAGGAATGGATTTTTAACTCGATTGTTTTTTAAAATTGCTATTGAGTTTGTGATATGGCTGACCACAGTGATTCAACCAGTTAAATGGATGCTGGAATGGGCAGAGCAGTTCTCAACAAGCCACCACATCTACAGTTTGAGGAAGCAGCGTACCCATCTCAGGCTAATCACAGAGCCTGTTTAGTGATAAAATATATGCCTGGGGACAAGGCAGAGAAATAGGGCATCTGTGGCATTACAAATATGTGAGGTGTCTCCTACCAGAATATACCTGTACATACAGGGTGTTGAAGAGAGCTGATTCTACCCTTACTTGATCCAATTAGACCAGGTATTAACTTCTGGTTGTCTTCATTTCAGCCTACACTAGCAATGAAATTAGGAAGAGTCTCAGAAATCTTCCTCCACCAAACCTCACAATAAAAGAATCCTTATTCTGTTTCAGCCCTTGGACTGGGCTCTTCTGGATGCATCACTACATAAGTCATGACTGAAAAAGTCTGGCAGAGAAAGAAAAAAATCTCCAAGTACTGTTCAATTCAGATCTCAGGAGCTTGTTTGGGCTTTTAACTTTTCCATTAATAAAAAGAAAATCTGCTTCATTTTGCCCCTAGAGCAATTCTGTAGCTTAGTACTGCAGGATACCTTCAAGTCCCTGAAGACCTTTTCTCTGGAAACCCCAGACAGGACAACTATTTTTTTCTCTCAAGTAAACACTTAAATGACGTACCAAAAACAGCTCCGTGGTTTTTACTGGGTTTCCTTATTTAAAAAAAGATCAAGGTGAAACTGAAACATACCTTTTTCTTCCTCTGGAAGAAGAGCGAGATAAGTAGCCAAAAACTTCTGTAACCTCATTCCCAAAGGAGGACAGTCTCCTATTGATTGACCTGGTATCCTGTTGGGTTTTAAAACATTAGGTACACAACTGGCATGTTAACACCTTTAGGATTAGACATAACCGATTTAATCTAAAATTTAACAGATTCAGAATGTTCAGAATTGCCCCAAAACAGAAACAAAGTGTCATTCCGTGACACTCCATCAGACCAACGGAGACAGTCTACGTCTCACCAGAAGTCTCAGGATCCTGGCTATTAAGGATTAGCATCAGTCAAGAGATTCTGTAACTTTCTCTCAGCATGTTATTAACTGTAACAACTTTGTATATTCTTGGTATACTCAAACATGCACCCTCTTCTACACCGGCCAACATGTTCCACCAGAAATACAGACACTAAGAGAGAAGATCAGAATTATTAAGTGTTGATTTGACACAGCTCTAACACATTGAAACACATGGCATTTGCTTCACCTGCTGAATTCCCACCCATGTATGTCCATGGAAAGATACTGCAGACTGAGATGAGAAATGCGTAACTGCTGCAAGCGCCTGCAGAGGTCACATCTGTCCTGCCACATTTAGATAAAACAACCTATTGTGACTAACCTTCATCCATAATCACCTAACCCAAACTATCACCAGTGACAGTCAGTTTTAGCTCCCCAAAAACAAACACATCAATCCAGTGAACTCTTAGTTTCATGACTTTCCCCAGCAGCTCAAGACTGTGACCATCAATTCAACCAAGGGGCTTTGAAAATTGCAACAATCAAATCTTGTCTCTGGATCCATACTTCATTGTTCATACCCACCCATCTCTCCTAAAAAACTCTCTCCCTGTCAGTAAGTTCAGAAGCATGATTTTTTATTAACGTGTTTTCCTTTAGTTAAGATTTTACCCACATACTTAAACCAGTGTAATTAGAACACTTTTGCACAATCCAGAAATTAAATAAATAAATGATTAATTAAACCACTGGTTTACCTGCTGTAGAGGGAACTTTCTGAGAGGGCATCCATTAGTGGTCCAATAACAAACTGCAAAAGAAAACATGAACAATGGTGAAACGTACATTTCCAAGGCACTGTTACATAGAAGCTAACTAGATTAATTTCACCAGACTTTATAGGACAGAGCCAGAAATTAGAGAATAGTCCTGTTAGTGGTAAATAGTAGAAGCACAAAGAGGAAGAAACTAAAGAGAAGGGGGACCGGGAGAGCAAAGAAAAGAGATTTTTCCACTAGATACACTTCACAGAGTATTGCAAAAGATGCAGGCAAATAAGAAATCCTGCTGGGAAACAGATAGAGAAACTAGATTTAAACATCAAATAGAAGAATGACAAAGAGTCAAAACAATTAAAAAGATTTGGGGTGCATATTCAGGCTGACTTTATTTCAAGTTACTCTCAAGACGCTGACTTTATTTGTGTAAATCAGGGATGTTAACCTCTGAGGAGAATGCTCCTATGAAGTTTAGATAGTATAATGTACATCATTCCTCACTAAAGTGTAGGCTGCTTGGAGAGTCAATACACACGTGACAGTAATAAACAAAACTTTTAAGCTTTAGTATTTCTTCCCACATAGAGAATAATTTAAAGTGTGGGGATTTTATGTTTTATGGATACAATAATACAATGATTATACTACAGAGACAGAATTTATCCAATTCCAACTACTGAAGCAATTAGTGTTAAGATCTGTTATGAATTAGAACATTTGTTTGTTGCGGCAAGTAGCAGTAACAGCCTTACCTCTGAGAAACCAAGCGAATTTGGAAGATGCTTTGTTTCATAAAGCTCCAGAAAATGAAGAATTCCTTCCTTTGTTAATGTTTTATTCTCACTCTCAAACATCCGTCTGTAAATGCACACATGCCACGATGGATGAAATAGCCAACAGCCTGTTTAACAAAAAAGAAATCTTCTAAACTGACACAGAAATGACAGTGACACACTAATACATAACATGCTGACATTCTAGACAATGTTGTAGTCTATTCACAGGACATTTCAAAAATGTGACTATATTATTAGTTTCATAAAAACATCCTGCTAAATCTAATTTAAAAATTATCACAGCTTTCCAAAGTTACTCTCTACTTTATTAATTACAAATCAGAATTACTAAAAAGTGCCACATCCTTCTTCCTGCAACTCTATTTATACCAATGTATTTACCTGCAAAAGTTTCACATTAATAGTCTTACCACTTCACAAATCTTTAACAACTTGCACTACCTAATTACATGTGTTCACGTGCCCTAGACCCACTGTCTCAGTACTCACTTTATTTATCCTTTCTCTAATTCTAACAAATTGCGTTGGGGGTTTTTCCCTTTTTACAAAGTTGTGCTGGTGAATTGTCCTCTACAACCCGAAAAATCTCTGGCTTTATTTTCACATTATCTTAAGTCAAGCAAAATACAGTGGGAAATGACAATTTTTTTGGATTTGCTGACAGAAAAATAGTATTACAAGACAACATAGTGAGCAGTAAGTATATATGCTAGGATTTCTTCTCAAAGCAGAGTGGCCACTGCCTATGCATGTTTGCCGAATAACCTATGCATAGAGCAAACTCACAAAAACTGGAACAGCCATCCAGAAAACACCTAACTTGAGAAACAAAACATTTAAAAAAGCTGCTACTAAAACAGAAGAAAACAGAGAAGTGTAACTTAACTGACTAATATTTAAGAGATTATGTAGAAAGAATTCCATCTTACCTTTATCCCCTGATATGGCAAGCTCGTATAAACTGTTTAGTTTTGGTAATACTGGCTTTATGACGTGGATCTGAAATGCAAATCAGGTATAAATAGTTTATATCTCAAACCCAGAAGCTATCAGTTACTCAGACGAGAATTCACTATCAACAGCATTAATACAGCAAATGACAATAGAAGTACATTTAAATAAACCTGCAAAGCCTGTAGTACGCAACACTCAGTTGAAAAAAACCTGATACTTCAATCAGGTACCGTATTTTAAGAACAGTACTTACTGATAAGCATTCTATTCCCCAAAAATTAAAACAGCACAAATATCTAAAATCAGGCACTTAAATTAATAGTATCTCAGTTACAGAACAATCATGTGCAAATAACATAAAATAACTACAGGGAGGTGGGCACACTACACCACAATACCACACAATTATGGAAGCCTCAAGTCAACAGGAATCTTTCTGCCGAGTATGCTGGACCCACAAAACTGTTTTAATCCAAGGCCTCAGGTACTTTACCATACAGACATAGTACCCTATGCCCGAGAGAGGCTATTATGTGCAATAACTGCATTTTTCACTAAGCTCATTACCCTAGCCTTGCAATTACCTGCAAGTAAAAAAAATCCAGGTTTCTGTCACTGCATTAACCAGATGTATCCCCATCATGGAGAAGAGTTCTGAATTTTTTCCCAATGAATGACACATACCGTGTTTAAAATATTTAAGAGTTGAAACAAAAATACTCCAGTTACTGCCGACTTAAATACCCTCAATCACCAAAACTGGACATACTCTGCCCTACAGAAACGTTCACATAAGCCACAAGCGAAGAAGGACGTCTGTCTAGGATGGGCACGGATTTTACGGCGCTCCTACCTGGTTTCCTTCCAAGGTTTCCATTATCAAAATGTAAGTCTCCCAAAACTGTAGGAGTTGCTCGGTCTTCTCAGCAGACCACCAAAACAGACTCGGTTCTAAGGAAAACAGACAAGGACACGCGTTTCTCGGGGCCCCTCAGGCCGGGCCGCGCCGCCCGTCCCGCCGCCCGCCCGGCCGTACCGTGTCCGCCGTCCTGAGGGCAGCGCAGCTCGGCCCGCTGGCCGACGCTCAGGTCCAGCGCTCGCTTCAGCAGGTAGCGGGCCCGCTTGCGGCACAGCCCGTCCCGATCCGTCAGCCCCTCCTGCACCAGCCGCCAGAACCGCGGGCACAGCCGCGCGTCCAGCCCCGGCCCCGCCGGGCCCCGCGGCAGCAGCGCGTCCGCCAAGGCGCTCAGCGCCAGCAGCGCCCGCCCGGCCCGCGGCGCCCCGCCCGCGCCCAGCAGCCCCTCCCAGACGCGGAGCAGCGCCGCGCCGTTCGCGCCCAGCGCCGGCAGCAGCCGCCCGGCCACCAGCGCCGCCGCCGCCTCGCCCTCGCCCTCCTCCCGCACCAGCGCCAGCGCCGCCGCCGCGCACCGCGACAGCAACTCCGGCTCCTCCAGCCGCGGCACCGCCGCCGCCAGCGCCTCCACCGCCGCCTCCTCCGCGCCCGCCCCGCCGCCCGCCGCCAGCTCGGCCAGCGCGTCGCGGGCGAGGCGCGCAGCCAGCGGCGGCCCGCAGAGCTGCACGCAGTGCCGCAGCGCGCCCCGCACCGCCCGCGCCCGCTCCGCGCTCCCCCCGCCCCGCAGCAGCGGCCGGCACCGCTCCAGCGCCACCTCCCAGGCCGCCCGCCGCAGCGCCTCCGCCTCGCCCGCCGCCGCCGCCGGCACGGCCGCCGCCAGGCGCTGCAGCAGCAGGCGCAGCGCCTCCGCCCGCTCGGCGGAGAGCGGCGCGCTGAGCGCCCGCAGCAGCGCGGCGCGGTCCCCGCAGCGGGACAGCAGCGTGTCCGCCAGCACCACCTCCATGGCGCGGGGGGAGGCGGAGGAGGAGGAGCGGCGGCTGCGCAGGCGGGGGCGGGCGGGGCCCACGAGGGGCGGCGGGAGGCGAAAACACGGCGTGATTGACCGGTTTGGCAGCGTGTGTGAGCGTTTAACATATTCTTTCTTCATCTCTAGGTCATAGCCCGCCTGCCTGCCTGAGTGTTGCCAGCCGTGGTGGCTGCTAAGCGCAACCTGGCCCAGCACGGGTGGCCTAAGGGAGATACCTCAGGTGCGAGCCTCTCGCTTGAGGGAGCGCAGTTCCATCCTTGTGGGCCGTAAAAACTCTCTCTACTCTTCATGCGTACTGCAACGCAAGATCCGGCAACAGTAATGCACGAAATGCCCGGTTTTCTCGTCTGTCCTATTTGTTCTAACCATTTATGCCAAAAGAAGTTGCTGAAACCGGTCACTGTTTTCATCGCAGCGTAGCAGAGATTTGCCTGAATGCCTTGTGTCTGCCTCAGGTCAGAGGCATTCCTGGATGCTGGCTCCGTGCTGTTGGCTTGTTGGGAGGGTCCAGACCACCAGCACTGAAGCCAGAGAACAACTGCTGTGCAGCCAAAGCCTAACACAGAAAATCAAGCTGACTTCCACTCAGTATGAATTCACCATGCGAGATTACAATTCCCATGAAAAAAACCCAGAAATTTAGAGATCTGCTCGTCAAAAGTGGTGGCAAATTACTCTCCTAGAAGATGTGGTCATAGAAAAAGGCAAACCTGGAGCCTTCTGTTCCTGTGAAAGCAATGGATAGCAAATTCCTGGCACAGCTCAGCGTGGTTTCTAATGGGTGTGGGCATTGCTTTGGCCAAGTTGTAGTTGCTTAGAGTCTAATGAACAAGAAAAGCTTACTGCAGGTTTTCCAAGTGAGGTTCCGCTTAATCACTCCTCTCCAAATCACATGAGTTTCTCCTTTTCCTGGCTATCCATTTTCTCCAAACGTTTTCGATTTTTTTTTTATCTTTGAGAGCTTACTGATTGCAAAGTCACCGAATTTTCTTACTAGAATTGAGCCTGTACTCTGACTATATCTGCAATATATTCTGGAAAAAGAAGATGGAAATTAATTATTAGCATCTAGCTAACATGGTTTCCATGTGCCTTACCACTCTACCTGTGTTCTGTTACACATAAATTACAGAATCTAGTAAAAGCTTTTACTAGTAAAAGCTCAAGAAAACAGTTCAAATTATACATTTTACTCAAATGTAAAGTAAAATTTAGTACTTTGTTTCACACACACAGAAACATGTTTCATAGGAGGAATTATTACAATGTACTTCGGGAAATAGTATACTTACAGTTTAAATCTCTTACATGCCATAATATATTTTGGTTTTCTATTTGCTTTTTAGTAATTTTTTCATTTCCACTCATAGCATGCAGTCTGATGAATTGTGGAAGTTTCTTTTATCAGGCTTGAAACAGTGTCAAGCCCTTCTTATTAAAGGATCCTTCCTATAATAATATGAATAGGATCTTCCTATACAAGATCCCTTCTTCTTATAGTTTTACTCTTCCCTTCCTGGCATCTGTAACTAAATGAAGAGTTAATAATCTGCACAACAACTAGTAATCAAAACAGAATCAAATATACTACGTGTTGTGCTGTTTCTTCATTATTGTCTGAATTCTGCTCTGCCTTGAGTTTTTTCAAAGGGGAGTGCCAAACCTCTAATCTTATTACACCAATTTAAACAACAGCATTTAAATTTGAACTGTTCCACTGTAGATTGCCCTATCAGACAAAAAGGGAGGTCCGGCTTGGGGACCTTCTGAATGGGACACTATGACAACGAAACAAAACAACCAAACAAAAACAAGCCAGAAAGGTGGATATGGTGTTAAGAGAGAGAAAATGAACAAACATTTTGTAATTTTCAGGTGTCAAGAACCACACCATTCACATCCTCTTAACCACTTAACCATAGTTGTTAAGTGTTTCCATGCTAGCACCCTAAATTTGTGCTTTCCATCTCTACAGTCCCAAAACATATCCCTTCTTCACCCAAGACCATGTCCTGTTCTGTTTTCTCTACTTTCCAAGCTTATCCCAACCACTTCCTGCCTTCTTCCTAAGCCAGCCCTGCTCTCAGGCCCCCAGCTTGCCAGCTGCAGTCACCTCGAGGGTCCCAAAGCCTTTTCAGCCTAAGTTTGTTGCACCAGCCTCAGCACTCAGAACATCCCACTGCTGCCAAGCTCTCATGTACTTTACACTCCTATTTATAAGGTATCCTGTATTTCCTTACCTCTCCAGGTCCCCTCCAAACTCAGGATATGGCCTAGATCAAAGGCTGAAATACCCTGATTTTTTTTTTTTATTTTTTTTTTTGAGCAAAGCAGTCCACCATAATTGCAGACAGCCCGGAAATAAATGGCCAGTCTGAACATGTCCCCTTCATGGGCCACTTCTATCTAAAAGGGCCACAAAATACTTCTCAGCTCCTTGTAACTCCAGGTGTAGAGCTTACTTCACACTCTGCTCCCTTAACCAGGCTCTCTCTATGTCATTTAATACTATTACTGAGCCAATGAGAGGACAAAGATGAGAAACATACTGTTGTTGATTTTTATCTGAACTTTGTAACAGCATCTTTACTGATGATGTGGGTTTCCTGTGCATGACAACAAGTTGACCAAATTTGGGCTGATTTTACAATTTAAATGCTTTACAGTAGTAGTTTATTTGTTTTCATCAGAACCCATAATTCTACACCAATTTAGTAACACAGGAGGACTGAAGTTCCTTCCTTGGACTCATAGTTTAAAAATCAGTGCCTTTAGTTACCTGCATATTCTTTTGGACAAATGTATATGTGTTCTTATGTAACTGCTTTCCCCTGTGATCACACAAACAAGCAGTTCTGTACTAGGAAAAAATTCTGAATGCTCATTCCAGTGGTTGGTTAGATTAGAAAAGGATTATGGACAAAACTACAGTATAAACTACAGAAAATTATAAGTCTTGGAAATCCCTACTTACAGTTTTGGAAGGATGTGTTATGCTGTTGCCACAAAGCCACTACTAAGGTGCTGAGGCACCACAGATTATTAGAACCCAGGTCAGGTTTATATCTTTAAAAACTTTAGTTTCAATGGTAGTTTTAGATCACACAACATACATTTGTTCTCGTGAAAGTCCCATACTACCACCTGCACATTTACAGGTAATTCTGCACAGTTCATAAAGAAGAAGGCTCAGCAAGCCCTGCTCGATGACTTTTTTTTTCCTTACAGGAGTCTGTAGGAGTGTGCTTGCACAGTGTAAGGTCTCTAGGGGGACCAGGTACATAATACAGCCTTTTCTTCCCTCTCCCACTGCACACAGGAGAAGGAAATGGGAAATTTCTGAAAGTTATGGAGAAAATTTCCCACCAGATCTCTCCCACACATAATGAAATTAAAAGCCCAGATGTGCTCCATGCAGTAAACCTCACCAGTTATTATGGTTACATATATTCATGTTCTCTTCTAGATTTCTTCAGTGCTGTTGTGCAAAAATCCAGCAGCACACATAGTTTTTATATGACTCTCTAGGACAGCACATCCCCTCTCTGCCAGAGGAAAAGGAAAAATAAATTTACAGGATGTAAGACAGGGAAAGAAGAAAATTGCCTAATTTTTGTCTGTTTGCCCTAAAGTCCTTGAACCCTCTTGCTAAGAGAGATAGAGGCAGAAGTTTTCTAACTGAAAGAGGAAATGGTTGATATGCAGCCAGGAAAGCTGGTCACAGCAATTTCCACAAGGTGGTTGTGCTGTTATCTCCTGATCCTCCAGTGCTTGTTTCATTTGCCTCCCCACCCCCACAAATGATCCTTCCAGCTCTTTCACGTCACAATGCCAACATGTATTAATCTTCATAATTTTAAAATGAGATTCAGCTTATCTTTCCAGCTAGTGCCTTCAGCCCTCTCCTTCACCTTCTCTCCCTCCTCCTTTTAATTTCTGAACTTACTACCCACATACAGTGAGCTTGGAGTTTGTCCTCTGTGCCATGATTCATATATCCAAATTTGTCTATCCTATCTACTGATAATTACAGTATATCAGCTATGGCTGCTCACAAGCTACCTGTTGAGTTACTAGCTCCACATTTCTATCCCCAAACTTCTTTATGAAAGATGAATAAACCTTTTATATTGCAAAGTCTATCTGCAGAATTTCCTCAAAACAGGCACATTCCTATCTATTCCTATACTTAAAAATTACTGTTTGGTATCACCCTGAAACTAGAGCCTTCTGATTGTTTGGAACATTGTTTATTTTCCTTTTTGATTGTTTAGAATATTGTTCATTTTCTTTGT